GGTCGAGGTTCAAACAAAGTGACCAATTTGGAGTCAATTATAGGAACAGTAGCGGTTTCTAGTTCTCGAGTTAGTTCATAGAGAACTTTCCATTGTATTCCAAGGCTAGGGGAGTCATAATCCATCTGTAGTTTGCATAACTGGAGTTTAACTTGGAGAACTTTCTCAATGTTTGGATCGGAAAGTGAAACGAAATAATTAGGTTTGAGTTTAAACCAAATTAAATTATTAACTAAGTTAGATTGAACGCCGCCGATAAGAGCATCGACAGGCTTGTGAAAACGGTTGTCCATGATGAGAGTAATAACAGGCTGATCAGTTCCGCGTCGGAATAGAGAAGTTATTTTGATTTGAACTAATCCAATATGAATATAGCGTGCAAGAGGATTTTGTTGTTTCCAGCGCGCAATTTTATCCTTGTTAAGGATATTGAATCCACAAAGACCATTGGATGTATAGTCGATGGTCGTGTTTCTGCTGAATTGCTCGAGAATTCGTTTGGAACAGATAGCGAAACGAGAAGTCTTATAAACTTCTTCTTTTTTGATACGTTGAAGTTTATCAAATTGAATCAGCTGTTCAATTGTGAACTGAACTTCTTCACCAATGATATCACTAAGCTTTATATTAGTGTTTTCATCTGGTGTGGAAGGAGTGAGGTTCATCATACAGATAGTGTCAATATCTATCAAATAGTGAGGTTCTTCAGTATCGCTTGTGTAGGTACTGGAAGAACTACTGGAGTACTCACTACTTGAACTTTCATATAGGATGGTACTTGGATCAGTGATTTTGTGACCATAGACAACACAGAGGTTATCTGTGTGTAAATGCTTAATCATTTTTGAAGCACTTTTGCCTTTTTGGGGGCAATTGGTGGCATAATGACCAGCTTCATTATAAATATAGGTTTTACAATCCTTTTTGATTTCGAGGGATTTAGCTTTGGAGGCCTTAGACTTTTTGGCCCCTTTTTTTGCTTTCCTCTTAGGTTTGGAGGGAGGAGTAGCAGCTTGAGTGACGTACTTCTTGGAGGCTCGAATTGGGCGCTTACCAGCTTTCCATTGTTTCCAGTGAAATTTTTTTCGCTTGGGTGGTTGAGAGCGGGGAGCTTTATAAGGTGCACAGCCGATCTTCCAAGTTTCTTGTAAGATCTTATCACAACAGCGTTGACCTTCAGCAATGTTGCTGATTTGGTTTTTGACTTGCTTCTTTGCTTTAGTCTCAAGGCATTTTTCATTGATGAGACGATAGACAAAATTAGTGCGAAATCTAATGTTATCGGGTTTCTGAATTCGAACGAGAAAGTCGAGATATCCTTTGGCTGCGAGTTCATCCCAGGGACTTGGAAGCTTATGAAAAAACTGGGGTAACCAATGTTCGATAGCATTTGGTGGAAGTCTACGGAAATATTTGGTAAATAGTTTAACGTAGTCTGGAAAACGACAAATGTCGCATAGTTCTATTTTAGAAAGGGCGCAAGTTGCATCATCAGTGAGGAGTTGTTCGCCTGTATGACCGACTAATTCTTCTTTTAGAATTTTGACAAAGCCTCTTAATACACAGTCGATTTTATCGAAATTATTTAACAGTGCATCCTTTTGACGTTGTCCTTGGGCGGTTTGATCCCATTGTCGAAGCCAATCGAGAGCATCTCCTTATAGGGTTGCTGATATATAGTCGAGGAAACGGTCGCGTTCCCAAGTTCCTTTATAGTTATTGACGAGCATGGCTAAAGATTGTGCCCATTCGTCAATGGTTTTCAAATGATCTTTATATGGAACATTTGAAAGGTCGAGATAAGTTCCATGTTGAGAAATGGGAAACTTATTAAGATCATCTTTTCTGGTCCAGGTAGGAATGGTAGAAAAATCGTATTTATACGAGGAGGTATAGATAGAAGGCTTTTTAGGTTCAGCTTTTGCTTTTTCTTCGTCTGTCTTTTGACCAGAACCGGAGACTTCTTCAGCGGGGAGAAGTTCTTCGGTAGGAAAATCTCCATAAAAAGATTCGTCAAGAATAGTGTCAGATCGACGTTTCTTAGCCTTAGATTTTTTGGATCTAATGCTAGATTTTGGGTCTTCTTCGATGGTCGAGTCGGAAGAGGAAAGAGGGATAGGGTCGGCTTCGATGGTTTCATCGAGTTCTTCAGATGAGTCTGACTTATCAGAAAAGACATAGATCTGCTCGTCTTCTGAGGTAGTTTCTTCGTCTTTGGAAGTACTGTTGATTTCACTTGGCGAGTATCCAAAGTGAGTTAAGAGAGCTTCATTTTGAAGAGAGATTTCTCTTATGCGATTGATGATATGTGTACTTTCATCAAAGGTAAGCTGTGGGTTTACATAAAGTGCTTGTAAACAGGTAAGTTGATCTATGATGTTATCATAGTCTATTCGACGATATTTAAATGAAGAAGAGGTTTCAGAAAACATTTTTATGTCTTCATGGCCATAAAAAAGGGGTTTAACCTTATAGCGTTGAGTTTGTTTTTCATCAGAAGGTTTTTCTGGAGGAAAGAGAGGGTCTGTTTTGGAAGGATCTGGTGGATCAGGCTCGGGAGGATATAAATCAAAGAGCTTAATCTTTTGGAGCTTGGCCAAATCGATAGCCATTTGGTTTATCTAGTTTTGAAGGTTTGAGGTATCCTGAGGAGTAGAAAGTGTGAAAATCTGGGTAAGAGTTTCAAGTTTGTCATTCAAGGAGATCATTCCATGTTGGACATCTTCGAAAGAGGAATCCATATGGGTATTGGTGGCCTCGAGATTAAGTTGGAAATCAATTTTCTAATCAGTAATCATGTCGATAAGGAAGTTTAATCCTGCACCGAGTTGAGTAAACGCAATAGGTTCAGTGTGTGTGAAGTGTGAGATATGTCGGTAGTCCTCGTAGGCTTGACCGTTGATATTACGGATACAGTTTACAGAACTAGGTTGTGCCATATAAACAGTTATTGGTTCTTAAGACCGTTTGATAGCTGTTATGGTGCCTAAAACCAAGAGTTCCTGTTAACAGCTTAAAAACAGTACAGTGTAGTACATACAAATAAGCAAGACAGGAGAATATGGGCTTAAAACAGTAATCAAACATATGAGATTTATAACAGTAATAAGGCACAAATACAGACTGAAAACTAAAACGTAATAAAACTTACAATAGTGATCAGTTGGTCAATTAACATCAACCTTCGCAATAGCACGAATCATTGTAAAATAGGGCTATTGGTCGGGTAAGTCGAACCACTGGGACTGCGCTAGTCTATGGCGACCTAAGTGTCTAGAATCGTTCTTAGAATGATAAGGGGTGATAAGGGTTTGTTTGTTTGTCACTGAAACTACGAATTCAGAATGCATAAAACGATAAATTGAAGGAGATTAAAAGGAGTGAAACTTAGGTGGAGAGGACTAGGGAAATGAATCCATCACACACCTCAAAAACATGCTAGCTTGCAATTAACTTGGGGAACTACTTATGTAAATGACCATGATATATAGAGATACATGATAACTACACTATCTTCAAGAAGTTCATACAATCAGAGCTAAGTATAAACCATCTAAGTATAATCCCCTAGGAATGGCCTATCAAATCCCTTACTTTGTATGGTAAATGCACATGTAATCAAAGACTAAGTATAATCCATCCACGGTTGATATGAACCATCTACCTAACTACATTAAACTAGGGGTGTAGTATGGTTCATCGTTCCTAGGAATGGACTATCAAAACCTTCACAAGACATGCCAAGAAAACCATTTCATATTCTCATCTCCATTCTCACTATGAAGATATAAGCCCTATAATCATGAAAACATACAATCTAAGACAAGATGATACATTTAACACAATCATTTATTGAATTGAAGAACATTTACAACATGTGTAAGTCTCTAGAATATGAAAAGATCACAAATACACTTCATTCCCCAAATTAAAACAAGATTATAGCATGCTTACAAATGAGGCTTCATCACCTCCCTAGATGGAGGTTTAGTTACCCATTGATGCACTAGAGGAAAGAGGAAGCAAAGCCTTGACCTCCATTTTCGAGCTCCCCTCTTCTAGCTCCAAGAACACCTTTCTTGCTCTCTTCCCTCTTCTCTAATCTTGTAGAATATAGGATATGAAATGTGTGGCCTTTGGTTGCCTTTTGTCCTCCAACAAAACCCTCTCTCTCCTCCAAAAAACATCCCCAACCAACTCATAAAGGAGAGCTTCCAAAGTAGGTAAAATCTGAGCACAAGTGGGCTGAGTCGTGTAGAATTCTGCCCTAATTTCGAGTGCTCGAAATAGGGCCTCGAGCACTTGAAAATTGGGCAGAATGCCCTATGCTTGGTTTGCTCCACCCGGACCTACTTTGCTAAAATGGCCATAACTTTGCATTCTAAACTCCGAATGATGAATCTTTTGAAGATTTGGAAAGCTGATTCAGAGCTCTAAAAATTTCATGTTTTGGTGGAGATCCAATTCTCAAGTCTGGTTGGTCGAAATTGCAGATCAAGGCAGAATTTCATTGCTGCCAGGAAGTTCTGCGCACCTCTGGTAACAAGGCCATAACTCTCTGCTACGAGCTCCGAATGACAAAATGTTTGAAGATTTAGAAAGATAATTCAGAGCTCTAAATCTTTCATGTTATGATGGAAGTCCAGTTCTTGAGTTTGGTAGGTCAAAATGGCGAACAAAGTTCGGGCTTCACTGCTGCCAGAAATTCAGCATTGTGACCTTTGATGTTCAAAACTCCACAAAGCATCCTTCTTGCTTCTTTTTGGCCAATGAACCTGAAAATATGCAAAAACGTGCATATGAAGGTAATCTACATAATTAAACAAACAATGGACTTAAATAATGCAATTAAGGGCGCTTGAATATGCAATATTCGGTGCTTATCAAATAGTGGTTCAGATTCGCTAGAGGCTCTGATACCAATTACAAAATGATTTTTGCAAAAGTATTTTGTGGAAAATCCTGTTCTCCTACCAACTAGGCTAGCTTGAGAAAACAATTTATCTGAGAGAGAGAAAATCTTTTTCCCAGTCAATAGTAAGACAGATTTGGATGCAAAGCTTTTTAAGCTCATCATTCATGGCTGTTTGTTCAGTTATGAGGGCTGTAAGAGAACTCAGATGTTGTCTGAATTTCTTATTTGCACCAAGTTTATGTGTTTTCCAAACATTGTTAATTTCATCATAAAGATTGTTTGGAAGACCAGGATCGTAGAAATTGTTGATTTCTGCAGCATCCGGAGTTTGAGAAAAGAATTTTTGAGAAGCTTGACCCACATTATAGAAAACTGTTTGGGCTTCTATAAGCGTATCATAAGCTTTAAAGCAAGAACCATTAAATGAACGAAGCTGTTTGTGACAGTCATTCCAGGTTGCATAGATGCCAGGATGGTGACCTGCAAAAACCACAAACCATTTGTTTGGTTGTGATGGAGTTGGTTTAGATACTGTTTTTTTAGCAACAGAGATCCAACCGTCTTTATCTTTAGGTGGAGGATTGTAGTCATCCATCTGTGTTCATAGAGAGAGAAATATCTGGGTTAGATATATCTGGAGGTCTGCTTAAGAAATCTGCAAGAAAGTTGTTAGTTCCTTTGATATGTTCAATAGCAAAAGAATATTGGGCAATTACATTGTACCATTTTAAGCGACGTCCATCTAAACAATTCTTTTTGTTTATAAGGAAATCTTTAACTGCTTGATTATCGATGCGAATAATAAAATCTTCTGGTGCTAAATAAATATGAAAACGCTTAATTGCTAATTTTATTGCCAGAAGTTCTTTTTCATAAATAATATAATTCTGTTCATTAGGTTTAAATTTTCCAGAATTATAGCCACAAATTAATTCTTCTTTTTGAAGCTTTTGTGTGATCAGAGTCTTGCGAGCACGAATCATTGGATAAGATGGGGTATCATCGATCCATTTATCTTTAGGGATAGCTTTTAAAACACATCCCCAACAGAGCTCGGAGGCATCGGTTTCAAGAATAAGTTTATCGCCATTTTGAGGAAAATAAACTTCAGGAATATGGACTAAATCAGCTTTGATTTGTTTGATAATGGTGGTATCACTATCAGTCCAGTCAAAAATGACATTTTTCTGTAGCTTCTTTATTAAAGGAAGCTCTTTTTGAGATAAGCCTTTAATAAAGGTGCGACCATAATTCAAGATTCCTAAAAAAATTTGAAGTTGCTTTTTATCTTGAATAATGTCAGGAAAATCACGGATCTTAATGATAATGTGATCTTGTAGTTTTATACCGGTATGGGTTAAAACTAGACCAAGAAAATCAATAGATTCTTGTTCAACATCTATCTTGGTTGGAGATAAAATAATTCCATGATTTTTCAGTTTATCTGAAAGACATAGAAGGTGTTTGCGATGTTCTTCTCTGGTTTTAGAGAAAACTAAAATGTCATCAATATAAACAACAACAAAATCTTTAAGGTCATTAAAGATAGAATCCATCCATCGTTGATAGATTTGTGGTGCTGTGTTGAGACCAAAGGGCATGACGGTCCACTGATATTGACCGCGTGGGGTACTAAAGGCTGTTAAGGGTTTGGATTTCTTTCGAAGTTTTATCTGCCAAAATCCCACTTTACAGTCAAACTTGCTAAAGATTTTAGCTCCACGAGTTTGATTAATAAGAACATCTTTGCGAGGGATGAATTAGCCATCACAAACCAGATGTTCATTAAGACGTTTATAGTTGATGACCATGCGGGCTTTACCGCGTTTGATCTCACTATGGTTACGAACCATAAATGCAGGGCTACTATGTGGACTGCGTGTTCTCTCGATGAGTTTTTTCTCAAGGAAATCTTGAAGCTGTGAGTCAAATTCATCAATATCTTTGCGAAGATAGATCATTGGTTTGACCCGAATAATAACATCATCTTTGAGTTTTAATTGGCAAAAACGAGGACTTCGCTTCCACAAGGTAAGGGGATTGTCTGAGAAATTTTGGCGTAATTGCGCATATAACCAATGTGTATCGGTTAAAACGAGTAGGTCGTTATCTCTTTTTGGTGGGGAGAATTTTTCATTACAAACAGAGGCTAAATTCTCTTGAATTTGTATTTCAACAACTGTTTGATCTTTAAGAGATAAAGAAATGGTTTTTTCTTTTAACTGTAAAGGAAGATAACTATAGATAAAGTTGCATCCTAAAATGAAATCACCATGCATGTATGGGAAGCAAAGAATTTTTGGGATGATGAATTTTTTATCATTAAGCCAAATAGCAACGTCTGTTGCTTTAAACTGAATAACATTCATAGGGGCTTCAGCATCAATGCCTTGAACACCGATGGGATGTTTCATTTGCTGCCATTTTTCAGCTGGGATGGCATTATATCGACAGCAACTAGTAGTTGCGCCAGTGTCAATGAGAACACAAAGGCTATATGGTTTATATCCTTTGAAATTGAATATACCATTTACATAGGTATATTTCCGTTTTTTTCCTTGTGAAGGAGCAATTAGAATTTCATCATTGCCAATGTGAAAATGAAAGAATTTTGCAGAGTTCATTGAATGATTTGAACTAGGCAAAAAGGGAGCATTGCCGCTGGGATCAACAGGGGCTTTTCCTTTTTCCGTCCAGGTAAATCTTCGTCGAGGAGGTGCATCGATGGAGGATCGAGGGGGAAGGATTCTGTCCCATCCAGGATTGCGTTCTGAAATTGAGCGCTGTAGCTGAGGTGGTCTCGCTTTATTGGTAACATAAAGATTCGAGCCCGAGGCATGAATAGTGGCTAAAGTTGGTTCTGTAATGCGTAACTTGGGTTCCGAATTGATGTTATCAAATAGCCAAGTCTTGGGAATCTCAAGATCGGTCCAATTGAGAACTTTAGGCTCAATTATGGTATCAAAAGGTCGAGGTTCAAACAAAGTGACCAATTTGGAGTCAATTGTAGGAACAGTAGCGGTTTCTGGTTCTCGAGTTAGTTCATAGAGAACTTTCCATTGTATTCCAAGGCTAGGGGAGTCATAATCCATCTGTAGTTTGCATAACTGGAGTTTAACTTGGACAACTTTCTCAATGTTTGGATCGGAAAGTGAAACGAAATAATTAGGTTTGAGTTTAAACCAAATTAAATTATTAACTAAGTTAGATTGAACGCCGCCGATAAGAGCATCGACAGGCTTGTGAAAACGGTTGTCCATGATGAGAGCAATAACAGGCTGATCAGTTCCGCGTCGGAATAGAGAAGTTATTTTGATTTGAACTAATCCAATATGAATATAGCGTGCAAGAGGATTTTGTTGTTTCCAGCGCGCAATTTTATCCTTGTTGAGGATATTGAATCCGCAAAGACCATTGGATGTATAGTCGATGGTCGTGTTTCCGCTGAATTGCTCGAGAATTTGTTTGGAAAAAATAGCGAAACGAGAAGTCTTATAAACTTCTTCTTTTTTGATACGTTGAAGTTTATCAAATTGAATCAGCTGTTCATTTGTGAACTGAACTTCTTCACTAATGATATCACTAAGCTTTATATTAGTGTTTTCATCTGGTGTGGAAGGAGTGATGTTCATCATACAGATAGTGTCAATATCTGTCAAATCGTCTTCAGTATCGCTTGTGTAGGTACTGGAAGAACTACTGGAGTACTCACTACTTGAAATTTCATATAGGATGGTACTTGGATCAGTGATTTCGTGACCATAGACAACACAGAAGTTATCTGTGTGTAAATGCTTAATCATTTTTGAAGCACTTTTGCCTTTTTGGGGGTAATTGGTTGCATAATGACCAGCTTCATTTCAAATATAGCATTTACACGACAGAAGGAGTTGTCATGTCTACTTTTTCTAAAAGCAAAAGTAACTGAAAGCTGCCGACAAACTATTCATCAACAGTGAAAGTTGCCGACAATCACTTTCTCAACAGTAAAAGAAAAGATTCGCTCTTATCTTCTCCAGAACTGTTCCCCTTTTACTAGAAAGGGCTGCTATGAGAGACATCGTCGTTTTTTCGTTCTTGATGTTGAAGGCAATTGATTTTGACAACATCAATCTGACGGTGCCAAGAGCCTTCTTATCAAGTAATTCCCATTCTAAATCCTTTGTATCATCTGGTTTTTCTCCCAAAGGTTAATACAGATTTTTCTGAAACAAGAGGTCTTTAATTTGCATCTTCCAGAAACTGAAGTTTGTGCCATCAAACTTCTCGATCATGGATGTGGATGTCTTATCTTCTGATGCCATTACTCCCACTCGAACGGACGGATCTGATCGAAAGTGTCACGCCCTTAGACCATAGTCCGGATTGTGAACACAACACCCAAACAATCACAGTTTCAAAATCAATAAATATCCCTGTAACCTATCTCCACTACACATCCACTTTTTTGCTCCCTTTACAAAAACAAGACTAAAAATAAATAGTTAAGATGCAAATAATACAACTTTAAAGTTTTAAAGTTTGAAGTAACATTTATTATATACCAGAAATATTCTAAAGAGATATCATACAAAACATAGACTATTATACGGAATATAACACAACAACACCAGCCCCGACTTTGTCTATAGTTGAGGAGGAACACCCTCCACACCATCCATGCTATGACCTGAAAAGATGTAAATAAAATAGGAATGAGCAACCACAGCTCAGCAGGAATTACTTAAAGCGCACTCCTTAATACCTCCGTGAATCCAAACAAAGAACGGATAAAAGATAAAGGGATCATACAGGCTCAGGAAAGCAACATACCATATGAGATAATAAAATGAAGTGTCATGTAATGCCAATGCCAATGCTAATGTCACTGACACCTCTCACTTCCCAAAATCCCATTTCCATCACAAAAAGTTAATGTAATCCGCCCAGAGCTACTCCCCAGTACCACGAGAAGATAGTTGGTCATCTATCCTTGATATAAGGCCACTCCTTGTGATCATTTGGGGCTATAGTGACACAATTACGCGTAGAGCCACTCTTTACGTCTCCTCTAGATTCCTATTAACTGCAAAGATAAGGCAACTCCTTGTCCGATTTTGAAATCATTGATTCAATTCCTTTTTTCAAACTTACGGATACAAGGCACCTCCTTGTTATCTAGTTTTCAAAACCATTTAATGAAATATTTGCACTTTCCTTTTTATTCCAACATCATCCCCATGCTCATATGAGATGTATGTACATTTGTATAACATGATGTACTAGTAATAAAATAAATATTGAAATCTCAACTCATACACAATATCAATGTATTGCATTTTAATCCACACAAAAACATGGTAAATTAACAGGCTAATTAATCCATGGTTGTATAACATAAGAAACATGTTTTCTATCTAACATTTACCACATAATAACATAAACAGTGCTTAATAGCATTTAGAAAATCAAGTACAAAACTTCCCATTTCAAGAAATATCATAACAACCTATATTCTAATTTTTAAGTAGCAGCCTATGTTTATAGGGTCATAACTTTTTCCACAGTTAGAATCTAAGGTTGAAATTGGTATCATTGGAAATTTTGTTTTGAGCT